TATGTAAACACACACACATACACACACACACATATATACGTATATATATATCCTCTAGCTTTTTCTCCGCCTGGAGCGATATAATATATCTGACGAAATTGTTTTTATAAGCATTTTTTATTAAAGAATTATAAATACTTCGATAAACATATTTAAATAATTTTAGTGCCAATTAAGGCCTTGATAAAAAAAAAAAAAGAATGATTTTTTAATTATTTTTATTGATCCGCGGACACCCTGGTTCATCTCGCGCATGCTCCCTACGATCTCCAAGAAACTCAGAGCGGCGGGGCTGGATCCACAGTGGAGGATGTATGCTTTGCTTTGTGCAGCGGTCTGGAGCTTCTGGATTTCGGGGTAAAACTCCTCTTGGACGCGATGGCGACTCTGCATCGAACAAGACGAACTCAAAGAACAGATGCTAGCGGTAAACATATGTTCGATTACTGCCTGCTAAGCTAAAAGCGGCCTAGCCTGAGCTACGGCTAATAGCGGCTAATAGTAGCCTTGCAAGAACAAGCTTTATTAAAGTGTATTTTTTGTGATTTACAGGTAGCAGTACGCCGTCTTAACAACTCGGAGACTAATTGCAGGTGCTATGAACCGGAGCAAGGGTAAGATTTAAAGAATATGCTTTCATTCTGCGGTAAAAGGCAATGGATACGGATAGATACCGATCATAGCTTTGCATTTTGTTTTCACAGACCTCCCATCTCGGCAAGTCCAGATTTGCACGATGTTGATAAAGACGACATTGTGTGTAAGTGACTTGTTTTAATGTTTTCTCCTTCCTTGTTACTGTGACTTGCGTTTGATTTTTCATTCATACCACTCTCATTTAATTGTTTTCCAGCTGCCTGTAAGACGTATTTTCAGACGGTACGCAGGAGCTTCAGATATACGTAGCCAGCCACACGCTGCGTGCGGAGGCAATCTGCTCGGAGTCGGGCCAGAAGAAAGATGGTAAGACTTTATTTGGTGACTATTTTTCAGGTGCATTAATAGATGTGTTGTGTCCATACGCAGTGCGCTGATTCATTGTTTTTTTTTTTCAGCTGCTGAAAGCGAGGCAGAGTGTGCTAGCAGATGAGGAAGTGGAACTCTGGAAGTCCGCCTTCCTCGGCGGTGTCTCTGGATGGATTGTACGGTCGCCGCCATTTCGTAGGCCGGATCTCACTGAACTCTGTTAAGCTGCAGTCCCGGTTAGAAGCGATGCCGAAGTACAGGGCCACGCACACTAGGCGTCTGCACATCGGACCTGCCTCGGAGGGAATGCTGCCTGTTACCTCCAACCCCGAGGAAGCAAACGGACCGTTCACGGAGTTTTAATTTTTAGAAACGCATGTGTTTGGATACGCGTTGTATATAGTTGTGTGTGTTTTAATAAAGCTCTTTCTTTGCATAAACAGCTTCCCGGCAAATCTTCATTTCCTGTATAAATTCATTCATGTCCTTGATGGTAGCATAATAATTGTGTAGTAGTGTAGGATAACACACCATATGAATGAATAAATATATGAATGAATAAATATATGAATGAATAAATATATATATATATATATGAATAAATATATATATGTAAATTTATATGTAAATATATATATATGCCAACCAATCACGAGCGACTTTACTGGTTTAAAAAGAAGCGGTTCCGTCCAATACTCAGTAAGAAAATTAAAGCCTGGCGTGGCCACGTGTGGTTTTGCTGCCAATCACGAGCGATTTTACTTGTTTGAGAATAGTGGTTTCAGACAATACTGAGTAGGTTATTCAAGCCAGACGTGGCCAGCCGCGCGGGTTTGCTGTATTCATATGCTAATTAGGGCCATTAGTACAGCTGATCGCTCTCCACATACGTCATGGTACGTTTTCGACAATTTGTGGCACGACAAACGCGGAAAAGCACGGGTTGCAAATTGTCGGAAACTGACGAAAATCAGGCAGATCTGCGGGAGTTTACGGGGGTTTACGGGGACGAAAATATCACTTTTCAGGCAGTGCAGACTATAAACACTCGAGCGTATTTTCTGAAGGATGGGTTCCAGGGAGAGCACGTAGAGCATCCCAGAGAGTGAGCAGCCCTGTCGGACGCCTCTACACACCCTAAAAGGAGCACACAGGCTACCGTTGATCTTCAGCACACTCTCTATGCCACTGTACAGTACCTGGATCTTGGCGATAAGACCCTCGCTGAACCCAAACCCCCTCATGGTTTTCCAGAGGAAGCCGTGCTCAACGCGGTGAAATGCCTTTTCTTGATCTAATGAAATCAAGCCGGCTTGTAAACCCAATTAACTGGAGACCTCCAAAACATCCCGAATTAGGTATACCTTATCTACCATGGACCTGCCGGGGACTCAATAGGTCTGATCTCGGTGGATGACCTGCTACATAGCTTTTCCCAGCCTCACGGCCAGAGCCTTGGAGAGGATCTTGTAATCGGTACAGAGGAGGGACACAGGGCGCCAGTTCTTGATGTCTTGCAGGTTACCCTTTTTGGGCAGCAAGGTGGCCACTACCCTACGGCTTGACAAGGGGAGCAAACCAGCGAGCAGACTTTCCTTGCAGATGTCTAACAGGTGTTTTCCCATAGGGTCCCAATAGGCCTTGTAGAACTCGACACTGAGTCTGTCCATACCGGGGACCTCTGGCCCTGCATGCTGAGGAGGGCTGTGTGGAGTTCCTGGAGCTCCAGAGGCTGCTCCAGCTCAGTGTTGGTCTCCTCAGAGACCTGGGGTAGTTCACTGCAGAACTACCAGAACAGATCTTTGTTCTCTTTGTATTCGCTCTGGAACAGAGAACGGTAAAAACCCACAGCGCTCTCCCTGATCTGACCCTGTTCACTCAGTTGTTGCTCTGTGTCTGACAGCAAAGAGTGGACCATCTTCCACTGACTGTGCTTCCTCTCCAGGCTAAAAAAAAAAGCTAGAGGGAGCATGCATCTCTGTGATGTTCTGGATCTGACCAATACGCCTTGGACTTTTGACTCCAGCATGTTGGCTAAAGCTAGCCATTTAGTTTTGAGAGCTTTAATGTGCTCTCGATTTCCTGTGGATCCGGTGAGTTGTTCTAAGTCCACAATGTTCATTATCAGATCTCTAATAGATCTGGTAATGTCACGAGTGACTTTGAGAGTATGCTGTTGACTCAGCAGTTTTGTTTGAACTTTTCCATAGTCCCACCACTGTCTAAGACAGGTAAAATCTGACTTCCTCTGTCTAAAACCAGTCCAAAAATAACTTAAAGTCTCCTTAAAACCTTGATCATAAGTTAAAGCAGAGTTAAAATGCCCGTAAGTGCTTCTTGGTAAAATATTTTTAATAAAAACACTACCTAATAGCAACGAGTGATCCGTAAAAGCCACCGGTAAAATCTGGCATGCCTTACACACGTTAAAATGGTGTTTAAAACAATATATAAGATCAAGCAGAGTTAAAGAGTTCTGTTTTCCTTAATGTGGGACCATGTGTACTAGGGATGGAAAGGTTTATGAAAACCGTCCGAACCGTTCGGTTCGACTGTCTCGATTCGATTTGTGTGTGTTGCGTTCATGCGCTGCTCCTTTTTCTCATAGGGGAAGCGTTTACACTCCAAAGCAGAAGGTGGCGGTACTGCGACCAAAGCCAACCGCCAGTAGTAAACAAGAAGAAGAAGAAGCGAAGCAGCGTAGCCGGGTGTAGCAGAAAAAAATCAGTTGTTGTGGAGAATTGTGTGGGTATGGCGAGTGGGAAAGAACAGGAGTTGGAAGACGCACCAGCAGCACTTTATAGGTCTGCTGTATGGGACCACTTTGCATTTAGAGTGACCCTTCACCCCTTCCTGCTCTCCCTGCACACCGTTGCTCTCCCCACCATTCACCCCATCAGCACACAGCACCATGCTGCCATCTTTCCTCACACACACAGCCTTTTTCAAAGTTTTAACACTTTTCATGACTGACGCCTCAACAATACCTGATGCAGGCTCCTCCACCATGGGCTCCTCTGCAGGTCCCTCGAAGACACCGCAGCGTCCCCCACAGCAGCAGCGGGTTCCTCCGCCGCAGCAGCGGGCCCCACAGCGGCAGCAGCGGGCTACTCCGCCGCAGCAGCGGGCTCACGTGTGCCAGCTAAGAGTGCATCCCTAAACAGACTCGTCCATTGACTCTGCTGATCCTATTTATCCTGCATTTTCCTTTTTTTTTTTTTTTTTCTGGTGAACTTGTCCTTTTAAATAAATTATTGTAACTGTTACCGTCTCGTCCTTTTAAAGCTCTGCTCACAGTCACTGCAGTTTGTTTTTTAATAAATATACCTCTCGGGTGCCACAATAACAAAGAGGCTCCAGAAACAAGCCACCATCTTACAGCAGGGTGTACGATACTAGCAGGAAAGGAATACTTGGAACATCATACTAAGTGGCTGTTCTAGTGTTCATAATACAAACTGACCCTTATAGGTCAAAATGAAAGCCACCTCCCAAGGTGGTGGAGAATGACAGAGTTCAGGTCCTGTTGGACTATCAGATACAGACTAAATTGATGTGGTCAACCAACCCACATTGTGATCCTTGATAAGAAGCAGATGACAGCCATAGTAATTGATCAAAATACATTCAAGATATCCTAAATAAGACGTAATTTGGGATATCTTTAATTTGATTCATGACTAGTCAGAAGATATGGCGAGATATCTCAAATTGCATTTACGACCAGTCATAATTCAATTGTTGATATCTGAAATATACCTTTCACATAGAAATTAATGGTAAACTTGACGGCATTTTGACCAGTCAGAATTGAATTAGAGATATCTGAAATTAGTATTTTGCCTAGTGGAAATATACATACATCTTAATAAATGTATATGTCTAGTCAAAAACTGATTCAAGATATCTTGCAAGTGTGGTAAAGCTGATTTGATGTTAACAGGGCTTGCCATAGTTCCCCATCATACTGAAGTCCCTCCCAGAGGAAAGTAACCAACTGAGGAATATATATAACTGAACTCAAATAAGAACAGAACCATTTGACACCAGGTCAATAACATTATAAGGGAACAATTTAAACAGCTGTAAAGACGACTGCAGGAACATGGAGGGAAACATGGAGATTGTACAAAGAATTACTAGTAAGTATTCTGGGTTTCACTTGATTAAAATTGTATGTGGTTTGACTTGCAAAATATGTTCACATGACATTTCACAGTTGTGAATTTGTGCTGTAAAAATAAACTAAATACATGTTTTACGTATTACACGTTGATTTAAAATTTGGTAGTATTAAAGCAAAAATTAATTTCTATTTCTAATTAACTTTAATTAAAAGTTTAAGAAAAGGAACAAAATCTCAATCTTTCCTTTATGCTATTTTTTCTGAATTCTTGTTAATCCTTTGGCTACATTAAAATAAATTTTACTCCTTATCCAGGCAGTGGCATAAAGATCACAATTAGCGTCTCTCAGTAATTTTAGGAAAAACTCAGCTGGGCATTTCCTACACATGTATTAGATCCTGTTCAACTGCTTCCTGCAGCTAATTGTGTGTTGCCTTATGTGGGTAGTGGAAAAAACACAATGTTCACAGGACGCTGACTTCCTCAAAGAAGAGTAAGCCTCAAATTAATAATTATGATAGGGGTGAAGCTTACCTTTATATCTCAATGCTTTGCAGGTTTTTAGTAGCTCAGTTGCCAAACTCACACCGAGTCAATGCTCATATAATTGGTCCGGCTCTGGAAGGTGAAGCTGGATCTTAGGTTATTAACAATTTTTTTTATATATTTTGACTTGAACTTAGACTCAACTTTATTTATCTCTTGGGATTACTCCTTCAGGGAAATTCTTTTAAAAAGAGTGTATATAGTACAAAAGCAACAAAAGCGTATAAAATGTTTATTAAGTAATAACATTTTTACCTGTGTCCACACCTGTTAAAAAAACATTTGGGGGGGGGGGGTTTCTTCATACGGATTCCCAAACCGGTGCAGGACTCTGGTGGAGATAGGCAAAATTTCTACTTAAGTAAGGTAAATTTGTTGCCTGAGACCTCTGGATTCAACCATAATCCAGTTATATTTAGAAGGGTGTAAATGATCTAGTTTTTAATAGTCAATCTTATTTGTAAGTATAGGATAGGATAAAGGATGTTAGCAATAAGAAGCTGAGGGGCCTTCATTGGCATTCCTCATGCTGTCACAGTTGCTAGCTGACCAAAGAGCTGAGGTGAGGGCGGGGAATTGGCTAAAGACTGGACTGTTCTATTTTACAGGTGATAATTTCTAGCCTTTACTGTCTGAAGGATCTAGTTAAAATGAGCAAGGTCCGTTGAAAGACACAGCTCCTATGTTGGGTCACAGTCCCTTTAACATTCTACTGTGTATTCTCAAACCCCAAGTAAAGTACAAATATTTTAAATCTTTAATAATTTATTTTGAATCAATTGTCTTGATGAGTATATGGGTTTTCTGACTCATTCTGTAACAAGAATATTTTTCCTAAAGGAGTCATAGTCTTTTATTATACATTCTGAAATTTTGTTTAAAGGAAATAGGGGCAGGAAATGGGAAATAATACGCATTCATATCCAGTTTTATAACGCTAATCGGTGAGCGTTAAAAACCAAAAATGTCCTCATCATCAGGCAGAAGATCTGTCAACACATGGCCATGAAATTTTACTTCATTTGAGACATTCAATACAGTACCAGACTGTTTGGAATTTGGAAATACTCTATTTTTGTCCTCCTTAGTTCGACAAATCAAGATGATACTTTTTTATGGGTTGGTTTTGACATCAAGTAGTTCACCATATGCTAAACAGACATTAAGCAGGCTCTGAAGACCAGCTGAACTTGGGAATAAAAGACACTAGGTCATCAGCAAACATGAAATGATTAATATTGGAATCACCAACCGTGCAGCCAGTTCTACACAGGTGTAGCTGCTTAGAGAGGTCATTCATAAAAAATTAAACAAAATAGGAGATACAATTCTTCCTTGTCTGAATCTATTACTGATACGAAAGGATGCAGACACATAGTTGTCCCATTTGACCTGCATAGTTAGATTAGCATACCAATATGACAGACATCTTACCATATATTTGGACACACCAGCTTTCCACAGTTTTAAAAATAGTTTTCTATGATTTACACGATCAAAGCCTTAGTGGCATCCACAAACACAGGCTTTTAGGCCATATATACACATATCAGTGCCATGTTTGCACTTGAACCCAAATTGATCGTCTGTAGACATAACTATCTTTGCAAATTTTGGCAAAATAATTCCAAAGACTTGTACTGTACTAGGTAGGGCTATAGGACTATAGTTATAAGAGCTGCCAATTGTACCAGCTTTGTTTTTAATCACAGAAAGTAGATCATTCATCAAGGTTTCAGTAGTAAAGCCATGCATAATAAAACGAGTGAAACACAAGGCATGAAGAGGGACTACCTTTGGACTTGCAAATATGAGATGTTAAGCTACATACAGAGTCTCATGACCAGCTTATGTTTACATAATGCTGTAGTTTTGGAACCAAACTCCTCACAATAATTTTAAGGTTTTTAAAAAACTTCCTCACGATCATAAATTACTAACAGTAGATGTCATGGTATGAATGCTTTTTACTAAAACAATATATTGTTATCTATATCTCTATCAGAAGCACAAGAGAAGTGCATCAGGATGGTGCTAGTTGGAAGAACTGGATGTGGGAAGAGCGCAGTAGCAAACACCATTTTGGGACAGAAATGTTTCAAATCTATCGCCGACCCCTCCATGGTAACACTGGTGTGTCAGAAGGAAACAGCTGAATTTGATGGTCAGATTCTGTCTGTAGTTGATACTCCAGGTCTGTTTTATACAGAAAAGGATCAGAAGGATGTCACAGATGAGATTGCAAGATGCATGATACTCTGCGCTCCTGGTCCTCATGTCTTTCTAGTTGTGATCCAGCCAGGCAGATTCACAGATGAAGAACAAAAAACAATCAAACTCATCCAGTCAATTTTTGGAGAGAAGGCAGCAAATTACACCATGGTGCTGTTCACTCATGGAGATGATCTGGAGGAGGACGGGGTTGATATCAATGATTTTATAAAGAATGAACCATCTCTCCAGGACTTCATCTCTCAGTGTGGTGGAGAGTATCATCTGTTCAACAACCGATCCAAGGATCCGTCCCAAGTTAGAGAGCTGCTTAAGAATGTTAACATGATGGTTCAGCAAAATGGAGGAACCTATTACACCAATGAGATGCTTCAAGAAGCTGAAAGAGTCAAAAGAGAAGCTGTTCTGACCATCATGAACCAAAACCCGGCAATAGATGTTAATGAGGCAATCAGAAAAGCAGAAAATGAATCGAAATGGGATGTTTTTAAAAGGTTTATGGAAACTCATGGGGTCAAATTAGGTTATGTTCTAATTGTTGTGGGAGTCGTAGCAGGAAAATCATCACCATCAAAATGTTGCTTGCAGTAGTGTACAATACAATGATAATGATTGTGTATCTACACCTTGTTAATATGGAGACAAGGTTATTATCTGATAGCTTTTCTGATATTTAGCAATATAGGAAGTCCTTAAAGTTCAAATCTGTATGAATGTAACTGAAATGCACTTAGTCAAAACAGGTTTTCTCTTCTTTTAGTAAATTAACACTAATGGTGATTCTGTATCAGTTACAGCTAACTGTTGTAAATCATTAACTTCTTCCTCCATATGATGAGGTTGTGTTAAAGGGATAGGGGATTAAGCTGGGTTTTTACTGTCCATGTTGTAAACCTAAAATGCCAAAAAAAAGAACAGAATCTACTATGTATCTTCAAACATTTGGATCAATAAAATAATGTCAGTAAATGATGTGGTGTTTATGTGCTCTTTTAAACCCCTTTAAATGTGGCTGAAAGAAGACAAGGCCACCAACCCAAAACAGCTTATCAATCCTGCCTTAGCAATAAGTTGTATAAGATAAAAGAATTTAAGCATTAGGGCTGGTCTGATCTGGCACAGGTTACTGGAAGTGAAGCAACAAATCAGTTTGCTTAAAAGTAAACTGAGTTTGTTTCCAAAAAAAACCAGTCAAAAGCACCAGAAAGAGGCACCCGTTTCTGTGATGTACTGGGGTATTTATGTGCCTTTAACACATCAACAAAAAAGGGTGTTGGTTGTTCCCAAAACCAGCTAGTCCTGTCAAGCGATTTGAACATACAAAATGTTCATAGGTGTGGTATCGAAACCCAACATACAACTCTCCACACACATTTTCAAATAATAAATCAACAATTTTGGCCCTGTATATATTTAACATTAGTCAACAACAGGATAATTCTGTTATTTGACTCGTTTAACCAACAAATACATTTATACATATGCTTTCCTATAACAGCCATCAAAATGCTGACGTTAGCATATACAAACAGTTCATTGGCACTGGTTCATCTGGGTTCACTTAAAATAAAATCTTAATGCATCATTATAGGCCACCTTGAATCTTTGAAGACTGGCTTTTTTAAAGTTGCTCCACAAGTGTGCAGTATACAGAGATGCGCAATATGACTGAAACTATTTCAGTTTCACTTCATCTGAAAAGAATCCAAACTTACACACAAGGATATTTGCCTGAGCTTATAATATTCAAACCTCACGGTAAATGTCCTCATCTGACAGATGGTCTGTCAACACACGGCCAAGATATTTTACTTAATTTGAGACATTCAATCGAGTCCCAGACAGTTTGAACTTAGAAATTATTTTGTCCTCCTTAGTTCTACAAATCAAATCAATTACTTTGTCCTCCTTAGTTCTACAAATCAAGATGATGCATTTTGATAGGTTGAAATTGAGATCAAGTAGTTCATAAAATGCTGAACAGACATTAAGCAGCTTCTGAAGACCAGCTGAACTTGGACTAAAAACCAGTAGGTCATCAGCAAACATGAAATGATTAATAATGGAATCACCAAACATGCAGCAAATTCTTCACAGGTTTAGCTGCTTGGAGATTCATATAAAAATTAAACAGCATAGGAGATACAATGCTTCCTTGACATCCATTCACGAAAGGATGCAGACAAACAGACTATTGCAGGCCGTTTTGACATTTACTAGAAGCACTGTCCTCTCTA